TTGTGGATTATTCGTGATGGGGCAGAATGTGAAGCGCGTTAGATGTAGGGAGATAGGATTCTGCTGGTGGGTGAGCAGCGTTTTCATGGACTGGAAAACAAGTAGTCCAGTTATTGTAGTTAATTTCGTGAAAGTACATGTTATTGTGAAATACATATATTGTGATTGTTGTGTATTGTGATGAAATAGGTGGCAATAGAAGCGGTGCTTGTACTGCTGGGTATTGGTACTGAGTGAAGTTAGTAACACGGTTTGTCCTGGTATCGCAGCATGAAAACGTAAAGCCTGTTGTATGAGGATCTATTGTAGGTAAAAAGCTACCAGATATTGCATATGTTATACTTGGTGTCGTGATGAGTTGTGGATAAGTGTTTTAGATGTAGGAAGATAAGGTTCGGCTGGTGGGTGTGCAGTAGTCGTTATTATAGTGTCGGAAATTATGTTATTGTGACACTGTGCTGTTGGTTTTGATTCGCAATTAGTGTCATGGTTTTACCGGAACTGGAAGTGTCAGATGATGTGGTAGCTCTTGTATTTGAACCTGTGGCGGGGAAGATATGAATTAGTGTTGGCATATTGGTAGTGAAACTTCACGGAAGAAAACAGACTAACAAATGTCATTACCATACATTTTAAAACATATTGGATTTTCTTTCGTGATATAAGCACATATTTGAAAATTTACTCTGATGTACATTTTGCCTGCGGACTGCTGTCTACGAAATTCTTAGCCTGATTTGTGTTGTTAATAATAATGAAAAAACAACAACAAATGTTCTCATAACATCAGAACTATGAAAAAGCAATATCGAGACGGATCTGTGGTTTGATATACTACATAATGTTCATTACAATTTCAAACCGAAATTTAAAAGCAAAAGGTGTTCTTGGCTAAAGCTAATAGTGGAGATACATTCTATGGCTTCTGTGTGAAGAACGGGGAGACAGAGTTCTTTGTAGTGACATACACGAAGGCGTATATAGCGTGAAAAGAGTGGCAGGTGATGGCATATTTGCAAGACTGTCGGAATAAGATTATTACTTTTATGGATTTCAAATAGGGAAACAGAAATGTTTTGAAAGACTGAAAAGAAAGCAGAAATTACACTAGAAGCCGAAAACTTTACATTTCTTCATGACCACAAAGCGAGTTCATGGCACGGAGAAATGTAAACACTCATTTATATATTTCTCACAGAGAAACACCTCATGCAATTGGACCTGAATGTGAAAATGGTTGTAGAACCAATGGTACACTGATACACCTTTTATGAATTGAACTATCACACTCTAAATCCTGTAAAAGTCATATGTACTGCCAGCAGGTACTGTAGTGTGTGCAAATGCTATATTGTAATGAAATAAGCGGCAATAGAAGTGGTGCTTGTATAGCTGGGTATTGGTAGTGAGTGATGTTCGTTTGTCCTGGTATCACAGCTTGGCAGTGAGGATTATCAGGTTGCGTTATAAAAATGCCAGGTATTGTATATGTTTCACTTGGTGTTGTGATAAATTGTGGAAAATTTGGAATGGGGCAGAATTTGAAGTGTTTTAGGTGTAGGGAGATATGGTTCGGCTGGTGGGTGTGCAGGTGTTGTCATGGACTGGAACACACGATTAGTCCAGTTATTGTAGTGTTGATTATGTGAAAATACAGATGTTATTGTGAAAGACTGTGCTGTCGGTATTGATTCCCAGTTAGTGTCATGCGGTATGACTTTGGTTTTACCGGAACTGGAAGTGTCAGATGATGTAGCTGTTGTGTCAGACCCTGTAGCGGGGAAGGTGGGAATTAGTGTTGGTTTATCGGTTATGAAATTTCTCGGAAGAAAACAAGACAACAAAAACACAATGTCACTGCCGTATATTTCTAAAGATATTAATTTTCTTCCCTGACATAGCATGCTAAATGTTGAAGGCGATCATAAACCATGTTAAAGAAGAAGCTACATTATGTACATATATATCTGAAATAAGTTATCCTAAGCACATATTTGAAATTGTACTCATGCACATTTTGCCTGCTGATCGCTGCCTACGAATTCTTAGCCTGATTTGTGTGCTTCAGTGTTAGATCTAATAACAGATTCAAAGTCTGAATACGGAAGTAAACTTCCTTAAGTACAGAAAATGTAGCGATTCGAATTTGTATATTTTCGATTTATTTGTACAGATTAATCTTAAAGAATAAATATATTTAGAAGAAAAACACTAATTGTACACTTTACTTCAGAACTATAGAGAAAAGGCAATATTGTGACAAGTCGCTAGCTTGATACAAAACAAAATTAAAAAGCAAAAGGTGTTCTTGGTTAGAGCTAATAGTGGAATTACATTCTACGGCTTATGTGTGAAGAACGGAATGCGGACATAGAATTCTTTGTACTGAAAAAGAAGAAGAAAAAAAACAAACAAACATAAAGGTAAACCGTAAAAGAAGAGACTGTAGGATTAAGATTATTAGTTTTATGGAAGATTTCGAATAGGTAAAAAAAAATATATATATATTATATATATATATATATATATATATATATATATACATATACTAAAAAGAAAGCTGAAATTTCTCTAGACACTGAAAACTTTGCATTTTTCATGACCACAAAGCGAAAAGTTCATGGCACGGAGAAGGGTAAACACTCATATATTTCTAACAGTCTAAAACACTTCATGCTTAATGTTCGCAAGTGGACCTGGGTATAAAAATGGTTATGGACAAAGGCTACACAATAAACCTTTTATGTATTGAACTATCCCACTGCAAAGACCCGTCCTGTTCTCTGATAATGTTATCACCCAGAAAAGTTACAAGTACTACCAGCAGGTACTGTAGTGTGTGCAAACGATATATTGTGATGGAATAAGCGGCAGTAGAAGCGGTGCTTGTATTGCTGTGTTTTGGTATTCGGTGGTGTTAGAAACACGGTTTGTCCTGGTATCACAGCATGAAAACGTAAAGCATGCTGTATGAGAATTATATCATAGGTAGTGTTAAAAAGCTGCCAGGTATTGTAAATATTACACTTGGTGTCGTGAGAAGTTGTTGGTAATTGGTAACAGGGCAAAATCTGGTGTTTTAGATGTTGGGAGATATGGTTCGGCTGGTGAGTGCGCAGGCGTTGTCATGGACTGGAACACACGATTAGTCCAGTTATTATAGTATTTTAAATGCAGATGTCATTGTGAGACTGTGCTGTTGGTTATGATTCCCAGTTAGTGTCATGCGGAATGACTTTGGTTTTACCGGAACTGGAAGTGTCAGATGGTGTAGCTGCTGTGTTTGAACCTGTGGCGGGGAAGGTGGGAATTAGTGTTGGTTATCGGTTATGAAATTTATCGGAAGAAAACAGATAAAAACATATACTGTCACTGCCATACATTTTTAATGATAGGTTTTCTTTCTTGATATAACATGATAAATGTTAAGGACGAGCATAAACCTATCTATGTATATACCTGAAACATGATGTGAGTTATCATAAGCACAGATTAAAATTTTTACTCTGATACATAATGCCACTACTACGAAATTAATGGCCTGATTTGTTCTTCAGTGCTAGATCTAATTATAGATTTAAACTCAGAATGCGGAAGTAAACCTTTCTTAAACACAAAGTAACAATTTATTCAAATTTGTATAATTACGATTTTCCTTAATAAAACGAAAAAGAAAAAAATGACTAACTCTTCTCTTAACATCAGAAGAAAAAGGCAATATCTAGACAAGTAGCTAAATTGATATACAAATTGATTAAAATTTCAAACATATATATATATATATATATATATATATATATATATATATATATATATATAACAGGAAATCAGAGCTAAATGGAAGAGTATACCTGTGCAACGATGGAATCGGAGCCTGCGAAAAGAGTTACATAAAGATTATCCGAGGGAGAAAGGCTAGTATTACTCTTACATAAAGAGGCTAAAACTGAGAAATATACACTTTTTCGCGATCTTGATGTAACAAAACCATGACACAAGGATTTTCCAACACCTATTCGTAAATTAGCACTCTAATGTAATGTATATTGCCTTTAGTGTGTGCACTTGTTCCTGCAGTTAAACTGACACTGTAACCAGTGCTACACTGATGCACCTTTAAAGTGTTGATCTATTACACAGCAAGGGTGTACTGAGTTCTCACTATACAGCCTGACTTTCAGACTGATCTAACCATGAACACATCGGCCAAAACATGGTAAACTATGAAATACGACGACAATGATAATGGTCAAAATACCGTGTGTAAACGCCGAGTTCATGCTACCATAACATGTGCTGTAGCCAGGTAATGTTAATGTGCATGGCATGCGCTTTTGTCATGCACTTAGACCTGTAGTTATAAATGACAGTAACCAGTGTTGCACTGATACACCTTTTAAATGTTGAAATATCACACTTCAAGTGTTGAAATATCACTCTTTAAGGATGCAGCTTTCAGCTTTGCTCCTAGTTGGTTACTGACCTGAAAATGTTTTACAAAGTATGAAAACAAATAAATATGAATAAAATGCTGTTGCGTTCATCATAACATGTACAGGTCAAGGAAGCAGGTAAAACATATATAGCATCTTGTGCATTTGAAGAGTTGTGATTATGTATTGTGATGAAAGTGACAACAGAGGGAGTGCTGGTATCACTGGGTAATGTTGATACTAGTTAGTACTGGAGTCAGCAAGAAAAAAGAAAGCTGAAAGTATAAGGATGACCATAATGCAAGTAGTGTTACCATCATACGTACGCATGTAACAAACTTTCATGTATAGTTACAGTTGTTGTGATAAATTGTGGTTCATGGGCAATGGGGTAGAAATACACCTGTTTTACAGTTAGTAGAAGTGCAGGTGTTGTTATCGCAATAAACCGAAAATAACAAGTAGTCTGGTTCTTGTATAAAAGTGTAGTTTGTGGAAATACAGATGTTACTGAGATTGTGCAGATTATTTTACGCTCGTGTGACTGCCATGCAATATCACATGCTTTACCGGAATTGGAACTGTCAGAGGACGCGGTAGTTGCCGTGTTTGAATCTGTGGCGGGTAAGGTGTGGATTAGTAAGCACGGCACCGGAGTTCAAAAACCTGATAAAACTTGCAAATCGGTTAATTGTTGGAACATTATTATTACGCTGCTTTGTTCTCAACGAAGGACTTAAATCCCACTGTTACAAGGGGTATAGAAGTCGCAGACCGCTAAAGATAAAGACAGATAAAGACTGCTGTCAGTAGAAAAGGAATCGTTAACATATAGGTTAGAAGATTTTCTCTCCAAATATTACTGTCACTATAACATTATACATTACATAATCACCGAATAATCTCTCTGACTATATGATTATAGTTGTAGCCTTAAGTTATTATACCTGTGACCAACAGGGCAATGCCGGGACACAGGCCAATTCTGTTATTTGCTGACCATTTCTATATATTTGCTAAACCTATTAATGAACAATAATTAACGTCAAATGTAAGTGTAATGTCAGTATATAAATCTTATAACTACCATCCGATCTGTGATTGTATACTTGAATAGGAAGATATTCATATATGTTAGAGCGTATACAAAGTTAAGACCTGTAAATAAATGTAGATTTTAGAGGATTACAGATAACCATTTCTAGAAGTGACTAGCAGTGAACGAAACATTATATTGTGAAAGTAAGGAGTATTTTACAGAATGTACAGGTTTTTAAAACCCTTAACAGCGATGTGCCGAAAAAAGAGAAAACACAAATAAGAATAAACAAAAAAGATTAGAGACCATAATTGCGATGTGAAAGCCATAGGACAGGGGTTCCAAAGTGAGGGGCGAAGACTTTTGAGATCTGGACCACTAATAAGGTCGATGATATAAAACTGAAAATAAAACCAATGATTTCATTTTTTCTGAGCAGCGTGTGGAAGAGAAAGTCCTCTTTATAAATCAATATGTGGAAAAAAAAATGTTCTTTCTTCCTCATATCAAAGTTTAATCATTCCTTTGGTATGATTAAACTTTGGTTGACATTACCGCACATTTCAAGTAGCGGCGTGGCTTAACAGGCCGTGGCGAGTTGGGAACCACTGTCGTAAGATTGGTGTGATAAACGTAACATACTGTTATAGGATAGTATAATTGTTGAAAAATGCTCATTGTGCAAATGGTGTCGACCTTTCTGTGTTTATCATAATTAGTGTTCATGAGAGAATAGGAAAAATACGTTGTACTCATAGTGTTATAAACCCCTGTGAATATGTAAACTATATCGAAAAAATAGTAGTGCAGTGTCGATATTCATGTGTTCATAACAATTAGAATCTATAAACAATGATAAAAAAATAAACTGCTGCCTGTACATGCCCTTTCTAAAACAAGTTAAAAGATGGACTTTAAAAGTCCCATTCAAAAAGACCGCCAAAAAGCCCGAGAAAGTGCCTTACCGCTGTCAACTGTTCCCTGGGTGGTTGTTCCGCCCCCTGTGAAGAGTCAGATGCGGTTAACTGTGTGTGGAATCTGTATGCTTGGTACTGCAGACATGTATTATGAAAGAGTTTGCTCTTTCATTCAAGTAAAAAGTATTTTACTAGTGAATGTTGGTTTTTAAAAATATTTGAGAATATATACCAATCTTATACAACATATTATTATGAAACGATCGGGAATAAGAAATAGTAAGCAGGCATTAAATATGTTGGGGATGTAAGAAAAAATTATCTTGCAGCCAGAGAGAGAAAATCACTCAAAGAGTGGCTCAGAAGAAAAGTGTAATGATGTATGAATTTAGAGGATGCGCAGTATGGAAAATGTGACCTGTTCTGGCTCTTACTGGTGATCACTAGATAGCGTATATATTATTCATGTCATAAGATGTCATTTGATGGCCTGAGGTGATACTATAGTTGGCAGACATGCAACTTGCACCGACAGTAAATGCAGAAGACATCGCCCTTCAAAGTAACAGGAGTACAACACTATGCACATCTCAAACTATAACTCGGCCAAAGAATCGAGATCACTACACCAAAAATGAGCGAAACGTGTATCACTAAATCCACAGGACCAGAAATGATATTCAGCAACGTCCTAAAAGTACAAATACAAGTGAGTCACAGTAGGCTCTGAGAGACAGCAGAAGTACTGGAGGCAAGAAATCAATAGTGGCGGACACGAGGAAGCGTTCCTGCTCATATCATGGCGTCACATTACACTTATTGGACTTATCACTTGTGAGATCGTTTACTAACTTTGAGATTTCACTACCATCAACGCGACAGGCCAGGCAGAATCAGTGTAAACTCAGCTGAGGTATTTCGCTACCAATGTACAGAAACGGTGCGTCAACAAGAATTTAATTAAAAAAAGTACAACCTCTGGAACAGACTTTAGAGTGAACAAAGTGATGAGAGCTACAGATGCTCCCAAGTCCATAGAAGACCCCAGTAGCCAACACTGCAATAATTCTGTCATCAGCGGCACTTCAAACTGTTGAGAATAAACTGACATATCCAACGTAGATGCTATAAGATCGAACAACAGAGAATTGGACTATACTCCAAAAAGTATCAGATCTCTCCTTTGTCTAGAAACTCAATCGAGTTGCCTTTGCTAGCGAGTGTGCACTTGAGTCAAGTAGTAATGTGAAACCAGAAACTTCCAGTTATTGATTGAGAATACTACACTCAACACGACTGCAAACTTAACCTTTAAAGAAGGAGTCTCAGCTTCCAAAGGATTGCTTCATATGTGAACTAACAAAACTACGAAGCATCGAACGGAGTTGAACCACAAACGCCTCGTACAACTTTCGAAACCAACTATGCTCATACGGGTCCTCAACGATCACTCAAGATTTGCAAGTCCAGAAAGCTCAGATATCACCAGAGAATCGTGAACATAAACACTCGCAATCTTTTTTCAGCCTCTACATGAAACGAATGTTACTGATGGATGGAAGAGATGGGGATAAACAACCGGAAACACCTTATGTTTTAATTTCTTGTAATTTCTCTAAACCGGAACTGTGATCCACTTTCCTTGAATTAAACTCTGAAAGTGAAGGCATTAAAGTGAAAATAATACAAGATCAAATAAAAATAGGTAAACAAATAATTAAGAAGCAGTGGGAAATGGTATCTGTGGAAATGGAACGCAACCAGAGTTTTGCTCTTTATGTCTCCACGTAAAGAAGAAAACAAAGTGGTAGAATCTAGTTCTTTAAAACAAATAGATAATGGATGGATAAATAGGAATAACAAAGATAAATGAAATGGTTAGACACTGTATAGGATGATTCATAGGGTTAAAAATGCAATGTACATTAAGGTCTTACCGGTGTTAGAAGCTCCCTGGTTACCTCCACCTGCGACAGAGCGAATTCCAGTTACTGTACAGGTAAATATGGCGTTTGAATGTTGCGCGGGGCGCTTTCATGGACAACTCTTATTGGGTAAACATTAGATTTGGAAAGATAAATAAAGTGGAGTGGAAGAATGAGATACCACAACAAGACCGAAGATTAATCTTGATGAATCGACTATAGAGATCTAAATTAAACAGTTACAGAAGGTCAAGACCTTTGAGTAAATAAAAGAATAAACAAGATAAGACGGCAGACGACGCATGTGCTCTAAAGACGTTCTACAGTTTGGCCTTTTCTGTATTTCTATTTTCAGTAAATGTTTTATGAAAGTCCTAGAGAGCAATATTTGTGCCGAATGCCACCAGCGCCAAGACAGTGAAACTCTTAGCAGACTCACTCTTTAACATGGATCACACTGTTGATTACTCTTTTAACTTTGGCACCTGAGAATTTAGACCAAACTTCAGTCGTCCAATACCCAACTTTGGTACTTATTAACCATTTTTGAAGTACATGAGATTTTGCATCTCTGATTCTATATAATATCATGAAATCTGAAGATATTAATGTTAGTTTACGAAGCCCACATGCTTTAAAAGTTAGGACCCACTGCTATGAGGAACAGCGTTTTCAAAAGCCTAGGCTTTAAACCTTAAACGTGCCGTGTGATATTTTGTACTTGAAGGGATGTAATGGAATATACTCGTAGTGTTGTAAGATCCTGTGAATATGTAACCAACTGTTGAAAAATACACATGTAAATATTGCAGATTGTGTTGATCTAAGCGAGCTCATCAAAAGCACAGTTGTGTTCATGAAGAAGAGGAAAAGTGGATTGGTTCTGAGTGAACAAATATTCTTCCTAACACGTGTCGACAGATAAAGTGTAGTGGAAAATGTGGACCACTGTCGGGTGTTCCCTGGGTTGTTGTTTCGTCCCCTGTGGTGGGCCAGACGTGGATTATTGCATGTGAATTTTTGATGTAGACTTGTATCATGGCAGTTTTCTTCGTCAGTGTCAAAATGTTACAGATATCACATATGAAGAGATAATGAACATATATGAAACATGTAGGACATGTTGGTAAATTATTTTGTGCAGGAATAGAAAACAATCATTTAACCAATGGTTGAAAAGAAAAGTAATTATAAATAATTTATGTGTATTTTGTATATCTATATCGATGAACAGCATGAGAAACGTCGGCCTCTGTTGCTATCTAATACGTGTTCATAAAGATAATGTTCTGATTGCGTGTTTAATGGTATATCAAAGAAGCTCCGGACTAGTGTTGAATGGAAATATACTGTACTACCATGAAACATGAACAATGAAATATAGTCTATGCTAATGAGACATAATGTTGATTTTAAATAACGTTTCTTAATTAGCCGACACTTGTGCAGTTTAATAAGAAACATTATATCCAGTACTCAAAACAAAACAAAATCCAAAGCAGTAAACTAGAAAATGTCAGTTCATATTCTAGTCCACTACCCAGCCCTACGTGAGAAACCTTTCGCTCCAAAGTGTCCATGAAAATCTTTGTAAATGTGTTGACAGTGCAAGTGGGATCGTGTCAGGGGGTCCTAGTATGTCTTCCCGGTGTTGGAAGTTCCCCGAGAGCCTCCACTTGTGGCAGAGCATGTTTGGGTTAATGCGTGTGGATGGTATTGTGCATGTTGTATACCCCTTGTTATCTTTAGCTGTGCCGTCTTTTAAGTCTCGTTCGTTTATCACTGTACATGGAAGACTCTTGTGGATCACTAGATAGTAATATTATTGGAGACAATTAAGTTTACGTTTGTCAAAATATACGTAAAGGGTGAATATAAGAGAGAGAGAGAGAGAGAGAGAGAGAGAGAGAGAGAGAGAGAGAGAGAGAGAGAGAGAGAGAGAGAGAGAGAGAGAGGAGAGAGAGAGAGAGAGAGAGAGAAGAGGAAGGAAGGAAGGAAGAAGGAAGGAAGGAAGGGATGGAAGGAGGGAGGGATGGAAGGAGGAGGGATGGAAGGGGAAGGAGGGAGGGAAGGGAGGATGGAGGGAGGGAGAGGAGGGAGGGGAGAGATGGAGGGAGAGATGGAGGGAGAGATGGAGGGAGAGATGGAGGGAGAGATGGAGGGAGAGAGAAAGAGAGAGAGAGAGAGAGAGAGAGAGAGAGAGAGAGAGAGAGAGAGAGAGAGAGAGAGAGAGAGAGAGAGAGAGAGAGAGAGAGACAGTACTCCATTCTGTTCTATCGTTCATGCGTTTTGGCCGATTTAACTCCTTTTAATGTCTTCACGCAACTAGAACCTATTGGTCAATCTATGAAAGCCCAAAAGCAAAACCAATCTCAGACAAGACAAAACGTTTTGCTTAGGAAGGACAGACAGAAACAAGATAATAAGACGAAAGAGGAGAAGAAGAAGATAACACTTTACACAAACTTCATAAGCCTGTTACCAGCTTATGAAAAAGATAAACTTAGGTCTAATGATAAACTTACTGTTGGCTTGGAGATGCTGGAACTGAATTCATACAATGCATAGGTTATAAATCACTAGACTTATATTCAAATATTACACATAAATTGAGATGTGAAACCTGTAAGCAAAGTCCTGGTTATGTAGATAAGCAGATATTAATTAGAAAAGATTCGAAAAGAAGAGAATATGATAATGTAAATTCAGTTATACAAATGTAAAGAATATAAAGCATGCTCGTAATAAGCTGAGTTATTGGTGTAAGCGCTTTTGGTGTTGATATTGATAGTGTATGAAATTGTGTAAAACGTTTGATGCAACGGTTACTGGAGTTCAAGAAAAAAAAATGTAATTGTGGTCGTATTGTGATTGGAAGAATAGTGGCCAACATGCATAATGTACAGTATGGTACATATTTGCTGTCATTTGCTGGAGTAGGATAGGTTCACTAAGATCGTCTGAAAGTCGCGAGGTACATTAAGAAACTTGTCTTGGATGTGCATATGGTGTAACGTCTCTGTCAGTGCGGTTAAGTGCTGTATGTGTCGCTAAATGTGGAATTACATAGACTCTCCTGCTGATCGTTGTTGTGTATGTACTGACATAGCGTGGGATTTCAGCTGCTACTAACCATAACATCAACAGACATACTTTGTGAGAAGCAGTTTTGAAGGAAAAAAGAGTATTTGCCACGCGTGTCCACACTGATTTGGGTATTTCTGACTTCCCAGCCGTGTTAAGGGGGCCTTACCATTGTTGGTGGAGCCCTGGGTCGTTCCTGCATCTGTGGTAGGTCATGTAAGGTTAATGTGTTATATGATTGCTCTACATTAATGCGGCACATACATGTATGCAGTGTATTTATATAAATTCAGGAAGAATCTTCACCTGTCAGGTATCATTGTGTAGTCAAAGTCAAAAGTCATATCGGAAAATTTAGCGCAAACATAAGGCAAAGTGTTAAAAATATGGTGCATTTTTATATTCATATTACGTTAGCCTGCTTCCAGTGCGAACTTTACATTTAATTGTGAGAAATTTACATTTAGTCGTCAGACAGATCTGCGACACAACTGTTGGATTTAGCTGTACAAAACATGAAATTCAGATGTTGGCTAAAATCTGTTTTCGGTAATGCTGCTGCTTTTGACTGTAGTTTAAGGTGGAATGATTAAGTTTGAGAAAATCAAATAATCAAATATAATATAAGTGGATATTCATATTTTCTCATTTGAACTATCTATCCACGGAATAAATGATAAAACCAACCCCGCTACAGTGCACAGTATTTCGATGTACACTAAGACTATGGATAAGTACAGAATACGGAAGGTATTGGATTCAAGTCTATTATGATCAAGTTATATTCATGATGAAGTCCAATGAAAATTTCGTGCAAGCTGTGAACACTGTCTCAAGGCGTTTGCAGTGACTCTGTATGACAGTGTAAGAACGTAAAACAATTTAATTTAAACTCTGTTGGATCTGAACAGAGTTCATTGTAACAAATGTGGGGAAATGTATAAATACAAATGATAATTTCACAACAAACCTCTTTCACAACTCAAGATATGCAAGATATTTTCATGAAAACTATAAATTCAAATATTTGCAAGTGTTAAACCGAGTTCAAAAGCTGTTCATAAGCCGAGATAGGATTTGCAAGCGTCACGAAAGTGTGTATAAAGTTATGAGAAGAAAGTGCTTTTTATGGCAGTATTCAAAAGTAGGTTGAGTTATAAACCGAGGCTTATGAAGTTAAAGTGTTAGCAAAACAAGTGTATATCTCTACATGTGGATTTAGCTGACAGGTGCTTTTTAAGAGAAATGTTCTTCTCGGCGAATTTGGAAAAGAGAAATGAAGGGAAAAGCTGTTGATAAAACTCGTTTTCAAATTGCTGTTGTTATGACTGACTGCCAGTGTGAGAAATAAATTCATTTTTTGTCTTACCCGAGTCTGAAGAAGAATCTGTAGTGGTTGCTGCACCTGTGATTGGTCAGATAGGAATCAGTGACTGAATCTACAAGTCGGAGTCTTGGTTATGTTGTTCTTCAGCGTGTGGATATAACAGGGGTCGTCAGTATTGAAGAACATAGGATATAAGTGTAACATACACACAAAACAGATGAAATGTACCTCTTTCAATGTCCAGAGATATATGTATGAGAATAAAAATAAACATCCAGACAGACATCCAGACAGAAACACATGCGGAAAATTCACACTGTACTTATCCAATATTTATAGGTCTCGCGGATGCCAACTGCACGTGCAACATTCTAATAAAAGTCAAGTAAACCCGGCGAAATATCTTAGACAAGTTTTATATTGGGAAACCATTAATTCAATACTCTGAAAGTATCCATTTTCTAATCCCTGAATGAAAATATTTTGTAATCTCTTAAGCTACTGATATTATAAAATCTGACCACATTTGCATCTCTGGTTATATTGACGCTAACTTTTTATTTGTCCAATTCTTAGAGAATGCACCAACCACATTTGTAATACATCTCGGTATGTATTCAAACTAACAATATCTA